TAGTTTGATTTAAGGAACTTATTTTGTATATTTTGACATTCTGTTGACCACTTGTGTTTTAATGGTTATAAAGTTTTAACTTTTTGAATCTCAGCATATATCATTAAATAATTGTCTGACCCCCCACTATTGTCTGCAACTGAGAAACTTTAAATTGATAAAAATAGAAAAAATGCTTACAGTTGAAATCATAAGGTAAAAATCAAATTCTGCTAAGCCTAGCAGTATACAATACCTAGGGCTTCTGATTTTTAGTTGTAACCAATAAACACTGATAAAACGTCCCTGATACTACAAAAATGAAATCAGTGTTTATCCAATAAACATTGGAGAAATAGTGCTTTGGTAATTGTACCTAAGGGCTTGTCTACATGGAGCAGAGGTGGACTACAGGGTGTGATTTCTAAAATGCACAAACGTGCATTAATTGATCCCTGTTGATGCACACTAAAGATTACATTAATGCACATTAGGGAGTGCTGATTGCAACAATACTACATTTACGTGGACTGGGAACATCACAAAGAGATTGAAAACAAACCCCCCAAAATGAAATGAACGAAGCCCTTACAACACCATAAAAATCTAGTATACAATTCCTGAAGCGATCGTTTAAAATTTTAATGTAAGAGCCAAACTTAAATATAAAACTTAATGTCACAAGGTTGCTGAATTGTTAGAAAACAGCCTGTAGGAACAGTTATATTTTGCTAACGTTATTCTGACAAATAACTTTTCCTGTTTTCCTGAAACTTGAAGGCTACAGTGATGAAAAAGATAATGTACTATAACATGCGTGTAAAGAGTGTTCATAGGCAGCTCAATGAGGAGCTTGAAAAGCTAAAAGAAAGAAAATGCAAACTGCAGAAATTGCCAGAAGATCGAATAAAATTGTTCAGCTGCAACATAAAACATGTAAGTTTAAATAGTCAAATATATCAAGAAAACAATGCATCCTTTGAAAGAAATTTGAATGTATATCTTGGGAGGAGACATGAGTTTGGATGAAGAAATCATTTTAGGCTTATTTGGCTAAATCCTGCCTTCAGTTATACCCATTTGGGTTGGACAATGTAACTGAGTGTAGAATATAGCCCAAAGTTCCTAGGGGCTGATCAATTGATTGAAGTCAATGGAAAACTTACCTTACCCCCTGTGTTTATTCAAATACCTACGCTATATTTAAAAGCAATTACTTGTGCTGCAGTTTCAGTAAGCCTCCACAGGATGTGCTCATACTGCAGTTTTCTAATTTTAAGGCTTAAATGTTATCTTCCTGTTCTTTAAATACAGTACAAGCAATAAGATAATGGATGAGATTCTATTCTCAGCTACACCAATGCAATCCCAAATAATCCTAAACAGTAAAGCATTTTGTTTTACAGTCTACGCTCTTTTTATGTTCATAATAGATCTTTAATTAGCTATTTTAAAATATGCCTATTTAAAAATACTCCAGAGTTTTGCTTCTTACATATATCTAAATCTTCCTAGTATTTTGATCAGGGATCTGCACTCTTAGGGCTGGTCCACACTAAGCCCCCAGTTCGAACTAAGATACGCAATTTCAGCTACGTGAATAACATAGCTGAAGTCGAAGTATCTTAGTTCGAACTTAAAGGTACTTACCGGGGGTCCACACGCGGCAGGCAGGCTCCCCCGTCGACTCCGCCTACTCCTCTCGCGGAGCAGGATTACCAGCGTCGACGGCAAGCACTTCCGGGATTGATTTATCGCGTCTAGACAAGACGCGATAAATCGATCCCAGAAGATCGATTGCTTGCCGCCGAACCAGCGGGTAAGTATAGACGTACCCTTACACTGCGCAGAAAGGAATATTCAGAATACCAGTTTTGTTGATGCTCTTAGGGAAAGTAGACCGAGTTGTATCTGAGTTGTGTAGTTTTATGGAAAAGTTACTTTTGGGAGCTAAATCCTTCCCTACTGTTACAATGGAATAAGGGGTAGGTTATTCTCTTACTCTCACACATCTCGATGGTTAAAGTTGTTACTGTTAATTGCATCCTCTAGGTCTGTTTTCCATACAGAGGCTTGAGTCCGCAATCATGGTGGAATAACCTAAAAGCTTTAAACTGCAGCTAAAGAGTGAAGAAGAGTTATGTGACTGATATAATCAAACATGGTAGACCTGGTTGTAAATTTCCCAGAACAAGATTTTCAAACTTGGGTGCCAAAAGTCAAGGCTCTTAAATCCATATATAGGTACATAAAGAAATGGCCTGATTTTAAAAAGTTTTATGGGTGTGTCACAGGATTCATTTACCAGTGCAATGCCTTCTTCTGGCCATCACACGGATTAGCGCTGCTAGCTGGTGTGCCATCTCCTGGTGATGCCTCACCTATCCTCATCACCCCCTGCAGACCTGCCTCAGTCCAAGTACTGCAGGGTCCTCTTCCTGACTGATTCCTCCAGCCATGTCACTGTTTATGTTTTCCCCCTTCCAGTGGGGAGGTGGGAGGGAAGGGATATTTCAGTTCTAGAGACTAGCCACTTCCCCAATAGTGAGGACCCAGGCCCACCCTCTACTCTGGCTCCTAGCCCAGGGACCCTTTAACTAACACCCTCCTGCTACCTCTCCATAACTTCTCTCAACTTTGGGCTCCCTGCAGCAACCAACTGCCTCTGGCCCTGCAGCTTTTTTTATATGGATCTGCTGGGCCCTGATTGGCTGCTCCCTGTGCAGCCTCCCTAGAGCTGTTTTTAACCCCTTCTCTGCCAGTGTGGGGTGGACACCCCATCACAGGGTGCTGAGTACTTTGGAAAATCAAGGCATGTATTTAGGCATCTAAATGTGGTTTATGAGCCTGACTTTAGGCATTGAGGTTTGAAAATCTTGGTCTAAGTACCCATGGTTTCACTAAGTTCAGCATGATTTTGACATGAAAGCCTTCTGTGACTTTGACAGGCTTTGGATCAGAGCCTAAGTCGGTGAGTGGTGAGCCTGCCTTCTTGTTGCCAGATGTCTGGCTATCCAGCTTTCAGGCACCTACCAAAATATTGTGAGCTAAAGATTCCCTGTAGCACGTCCCCGAGAAAGTTTTAAAATGAAATGTACTTTTTCAAAAATATGATGAAATGAGTAGTCTCTTTTTGCTGATGTATGCCATTCTGAAGTCATTAGGCCTGAAATGAAAATGCAAAGAAGTTTCATTTCGGTATCTTTGTTATTATTCCTATAATGGTTCTTTTTTAATTGAACCGGAAAGTAAAAAAACAAAACAAAACTTTTTAGCGCAACTCACAGTAAACAAGTCAGTTAACAAAATCAGTGCACGTGTATGGTGCATTAGAAACGTCAGTGTGTCTGCTCAGGTCAGAGCTGAGCTTTTTGCCATCTTGGTCAGTAATGGAGCAGTGTAACCCTGGCTTCACGTCTGCTGAAGTATTGACTTTTTTTCCCCACGGTGATGGCTACTGGGCACCTCATTACTATGCTGTCGAGCTGAGGTTGGCCCCTTTGTTCCAGAGTAAATCTGTCCTAATTTCTTCAACCCACACCCTTCTTGGTGCTGAGTACCCATGAGCACATGCTAGCTCAAAGTGCAGAACATGATTTATCTTTTAATATTCCATGCAGTTGTTGCCTGTACCCCTGCTGAGCATATCCTCTCTGCACCTTTCTCTATGTACTGCAGTTTCAAGTCCTAAGTGAGGAAACTTGTACAGTGCCTGCCCTCACCATGCCTAAGTTTAGGTCGTGCTGATAGTCTTTCATTTTCATGAATATCCAATTCATATAAAAAACTCATAGCCATGACAATATAAGGGGATAAAGGTCCATGACAGCTGAAGATATCCCAGGAAGCAAAAAGAAAAAGAAATTCAAATTTAAACACAGTAGGCCATCGGGAAATCATTATTTCATATTCTTGATCATAATATAAGCTACTACAGGCCATAGGAGTGTATTTAGTTCTAAAAGAGTGGGAGTTTCAACTTTGCAAGATATATCATAACTGAAGCCCTAAGCCCTGTTCATATATGTTTTTACTTGTTTCAAGTTTGTCAAGTTTTTAAGTAACTTGTTACAAATTGCAGAATTATTTCGCTAAATAAACAAGAAAATTCTATTGTCAAGATAAAATCAAGAAGATTTATTGTTTTATTAGTTTTCTGGTAAATATTTTCATGGTCACTTTATAGTGTATAGTTAGAAGACTTATCTTCTGTGAAAAACAAATACTGTAATTTTCTACCATAACTTAACTTCACCTATTGCCTTTGAATCCTGGTGCATTCTTTTTAACAGCTGGAACGTGAACTGACAGAGCTGCAGACATCAGGCAAAATACAGAATAACAAATCTATTAAAAGTAAAAGGCTGGAAATTGAAAAATCAATTGACGATAGCGAGAACACAGATGAAGCCAGTGAGGAGTCAAGTCTTGAGAAGAAGTTCTTTCTGAAATTAGATGCCCTGAGGGAAAGGATAACATTCTGGAACAGAAAACTAGATGAGTATGTTTAGTGAATTGTATAAGAGCTGCAATTTGAAATATGTATACATTCCAACTCATTGAGGTGCACTTGGTAAATTAAGGGACTGATAATAGGATTTGGAGCCTGTGTTACATTTATTTCAACTGAGGACCAAACAGATAGTATTCCAAGTCATTAATTTTGTAATATAGTTTGGGAGAGGGAGTTCTGCCCAGAGGACTGGAAGAAAGATGTATTTTATAAAATATCAAAGAAAGGCAACTTAAGGGTGTGTGATAACTGGCAAGGAAAAAAAATACTTTAGAACATGGAAAAGTGTTCTGTAGTATACTGTTGAACAGAATTAACCTGGGCATAGATGAAGTACTGGAATAATAAGCAAGCAGGCTTTAGATTTAAAAAAAAAATGTATAGATCACATCTTTACCCTGAGATGACTGATTGAGAAAGGGCTTATCTACAGATTAGTCTTGAACTTCATAGATTTCACCAAAACTTTCACCTGCATTCATGGAGAATCACTATGGAAGATCTTGCAACAGTATGGGCTTCCTAGAAAGGTAATGTCACTGGTTGAGATGCCAGGTGAAAGTTCAAACTGCTGCATAAGGACATAAAATGGAGAGACTGATTAGTTTGATATTACTGGCGTGCAGCAGGGTTGCGTCATCTTTTCTGCATAGTGATGGATTAGGTGATGCAAAAAGCAACATCAAAGGAAGATACAGGACTTATGTAGAGTAAAAGAAAATTTCAAGCTCTTGACTTCACAGGTGATACTGAAATTTGGCAAATGCTAGAAGCCCACAGCAGGAAATTTAATGCATTCTGCCTTCTTGGCTTGCTGAGAATACTTGGTGTTCGCTTGTGGGATAAAGTAACCAATGCTGACGTTTTACGAAGGGCTGGCCAACAGACTGCAAAGACTGTGATTCAAGAAAGAAGGCTGAAGTGGTTTGGCCATAATAGAAATAAAATAAATAATAAAAGTCACTAAAACGGCTGTTAACGACCCTATGTGAACTGAGTTGCTGGATTCAATCTACTTCCTAGTAGACGGGTGTCTTTATTTAAAAAAAAAATGATTAGCAGCCTCAAAGATGGGACCAGGGTTGGACAAAAATGGCTGGAACCAAAACATTTTTTTAGCCATGTAGGACTAGTGAATGGAAAAGTTTACAGGTCTTGAAAACATGTAATGCTACAGCAAAATGCCCTGGCAAGCCAGGAGGTATTTGTCAAATCTTAAAAATTCAGGCCAGTCTGATTACCATTGGAATTCCAACATAACTTTAGCATCTGCTTTTCCTTGACATTCTTTAGTTAGAGATGAGTGCTTTATGGGTGAAATTCATCCCTGAGCAAAAGACCAGCACGAGATCTCTGCACGGCACAACCCCTCAAAAAGGCCTTAAGTGAGACTGAAGTGCTGCTATAGACTTATGTGAGGCCTTTGCACAGGGATGAATTTCATCCTCTAAGATTTGGAAGCTGATAGTCCAAGCTTTGAGATGCTAATAAAGCATTGAATTTCTAGTTCTAGGGATTCTTCAGATGGTTGGTACTAAAATCATATTAGAATTCAAGTGGGAAAATAAATAATGAGTTAGCTGTTTTTTTTTAAATCTGAGACCTCATGACTTACTAAGTTTAGAAAGGAATGTTTGTTACCAAAGGAGAGTTTGGATTGCTGGCTTAATAGTAGAAAGCATTTTATTATATTCTATGGTGTTTTACAAGACAATGGTCCTTAGACCTATCATTGATCCTTCAGTTTAGCCAGAGCTTGCCTTATGTGCTTTGGTGTCTTGGGCTACTAAAGGATTAGTTTGCTCTTACCCAATCCCAGGACGCAATGAAAAGTGTGTTGACAAAGAATTCTGTGGGCATCAGACGTAAAAGAGAACCAGATCATGACAGGTTTTTTAACTGGTGAGCAGGAGGTGGTTTCCAGAGGGAGAGTCCTAAATGCCTGTCAGTGAGGAGGGAGAAGACGCATGCACACTTCTACAGTGTCAGTTCAGTAATGGAACAATTGAAGGAGTTGGGGGGGGGAGGGGTTGAACATATCGCAACCTGAAATGTTCTGAGTAGCCACCTATATCAAGCCTCTGCTGTAAGTCACCCCTGGATCTACCAGTGCTCCTTTTGCGGCTGCACTTCAGACTAGCATCATTTTCAGTACTTCAGAGAAATTATACCTCTCTTTTACTCCTACAGATGATCCCTCAAGTTAATGTTGGGGGTGGAGTGAGGGAAGCTGGCCTGAAGCTGACTATGCTGTAGCCGTCTTGTTGATCACCACAGGACCTCATCCTCCAGTGCTGTAAAGCCAGCACCATTCACAAACATCCAATTCACTTATACTTTTTAAGAAAAATAAATGGAAAGAAAACTAACAAATGTGGCTCCAAGTTCTTATACTTAGAACAGAATAAGTCATAAAAAGCCATCTCAATCCCTATTTTTTTTCTGAATTTGCTATCAAAAAGCAAGATGAATTTTGTGCCTGTCCTTAGAATTTATTATATTCCCACCAAAATTTACCTTGTTGTTTCTGTTGCAGAATTGAGAAAATTTACCAGATGGAAGTTAAAAAAAAGAAGAAAAGCAATAGCTTAGTAGTGCAGTTTCTGTTGACTGAATTGGAAACAGTGGGCAACACTCGCTTTGAAGAAGGCTCACCAAGTGATTCTTGGTAAAGTTGTTTTAGACATTACATTTTAAATCCTTTTTCTGCAGCCCAAAGCCACCCACAATTCTTGATATCTGGGCTGCTCTCCTTTCTCTGCAACTCATGGAGGCAGATCAGAGTTTTGGAATGGCATGGTTTGGCCACGCCCCTTCCATCCCTGCTTGCTTTCAGTTTCTCTGCCTCCATGGCTGCCTGTGGAAGGCAGCAGCATTTATAGCTCCCTCCTTCACATCTGAACAATGTACTAAACAATGCTGCAAAATCTAACCGTCTCTCCTGATGCCACACCATGCCTTTGAGAAAGAGTACAAACTGGCCTTCACACAATGGCATTCCTTTCAGACCTCATCCTTACAGAAATATCAGCAAAAAGACAGCAGGCTCTCCAGACAAAAGCTGTGGAACGATGGCTTGGGAAGAAATCCCCAGGAGAATCCTGCTGCTCCCAAAGCCTCTTTATGACAAAGACCACGTAGGTGTCCACCCAGAATGGAAGCTTGGGGACAGGATTGCCCAGTTCCTGGAGGAATGGGTTGTTTCGACCATGAACTAGTGAGTCAGGGATATTCCCTTGAGTTATGGGCTCCACCCCGTCCGTTTTTCATCCAGTCCCCCATCTTAAATGACCACGTAAAGCACAGTCTAAGCTAGACCAAGATTTCTCACCCCCTGGGTATGGGAGTGATATAGAGCATTCCCTCACAAGAAAGATTCTCAGGGTTCTGCTCCATCTTCTCTATCATTTAGAACCACAGTTCTCAAACTGTGGGTCAGGACCCCAAAGTGGGTTGCGACCCTGTTTTAATGGGGTTGCCAGAGCTGGCATTAGACTTGCTGGGGACAAAGCGGAAGCCTGAGCCCCACCGCCCAGGGCCAAAGCCAGAGCCCCACCACCCAGGGCTGAAGCCGAAGCCTAAGGGCTTCAGCCCTGAGTGGTGGGGCTCAGGTTACAGCCCTCCCCCCTCCTCCTGGGCCAGAAGACCTTGGGCTTTGTCTTTGGTCCACCCTCCTGGGGTCATATAGTAATTTGTGTTGTCAAAAGGGGGTCATGGTGCAATGAAGTTTGAGAACCACTGATTTAGGAGCATACAGGGGGAATCTGAGCCATTCTAGATCTCAGAAGGCTCAACAAATGGATGAAGAAAATGAAGTTTTGGCTGAAGACCCTGACTTCTATAGTGTCATCCCTGTCCCAGAGGGATTTTCTGTCTTTTGTGGATCTCACAGATGCATACCTACACATCCTGATAAGATCATGCCATCACAGGTTCCTAATGTTTTCCTACAGCAGAAAGCATTATCAATATCCGGCACTCCTACTACACTTACCCTCAATCCCCAGGTCTTTACAAAGATTTGGTGATAAGCATAGCCAGACTCAGGTCATGGGAGATCTACCTATACCCCTTCCTGGAAGACATTTTTATCAGCGCTCCATCCCCGGCACAAACAGCTATGTTTCTGACTTTGACTCTCCTGCAGATGCATGGTTTTATTATCAACATCCAGAAAAACACCTTGATTCCATACACCCAAATAACTCACTTGGGAGTGGACATAGACACCTCGATAGCAAGGATATACCCATCTCTAGAGAGGTTCCAGAAGATTCAAGACTTCCTTGCATTGTTTTGGAACTGCAAGAGGCCCACTATTGCAGTGAGCCTTCAACTGTTAGGCCTCCTAGTATTGTGCATAAGGATCACCCCATGGACACAATCACTCATCAGGCACCTTCAGGGCTTCATCTTAAAGGTATGGGACCACTCCCCTGAATACATGAAAGATCAAATGAGGATCCTGGCACAGGTGATCAATTCCTTAAAGAGGTGAACAGCTCAGGGCATTCCTTATGCCTCCCACATCTCCTGATCCCCACAACTGGCTCCAACCTAGAGAGCTGGGGAACGTATCTAAGGTCCCAAACAGCTCAAGTCTTCTGGAACTTGGAGGAAAGGACTCACTACATAAACCCTCTAGAACTAAGAGCAGTCAAGCTGGTGATTATAAAGGTTTCTGTGCAGGCTAGAGGGGAACTGCTTGCTGATTTAGTCAGACAACACAACCACAGTCACATATGTGAATAACCGAGAGGGAATAAGAACCCCAGTACTATGTGCTGAAGTTATGCAAGTTTTACATCTTGGGAATAACTCATCTGGAAACAAGCAGGAGCTGAGGGGCCTGGACAGTTCACATGGCTTCTAAGCTTTGATCTGCCTCCATGAGAAGAGAGCAGCTAAGACCTCAACGATTGTGGGAGATGCTGCTACCAGAAGGGAAATTATTGATAAGAAATTTTCTGTTCTTACCATTCAGAGTTAGTGAATTTTAACACCCCTCCCATCCCACCCCCACCCCCAAAAACAGTTAATATATTGTGACGTGAAGTGTTTTCTTCAGATACACATATGGGGTCAAATCTGGCCTTGGCCTAAGTAGGCATGACTCTCATTGACATTCAGTGGGAGTAGTGCCTGCTTATGGTATGGGTAAACTTAGTCCTGGTGGTTAAATTCATGACCCCGGCTTTGTATGGGAGAACTACATAGGAGCTAAGAGAGAAATGGAATCAGTACCTAACCCATGGGCAGAGCATGGAGTGGGCACACAGCCCTTTTATAAATGCTATTCACGGATAGAGCAGGAGCAATGAACCATCTGGACTCCTATACAGAAGTTTGTGACCTTTGGATCTGCCCATTTCCATGTCTCTCTACCCTGCCCTATGTGAAACTAACACAAAGCCCATCAGTCCTGCATGTAGTGAATGCATAGTCACTTCCTAACCCCCTGTAGTTTAAAAAAAAAAATATGGAGATATACCTATCTCATAGAACCAGGCCCGGCTCCACGGTTTTGGCTGCCCCAAGCAGCCAAACAAACAAGCCACGGTCGCAATTCGGTGGGAGGTCCTTCGCTTGGAGCAGGAGTGAGGGACCCTCCGCCGAATTGCCACCAAACAGTTGGACGTGCCGCCCCTCTCCGAAGTGGCCGCCCCAAGCACCTGCTTGGTAAGCTGGTACCGGCCCTGTGTAGAACTGGAAGGGACCTCAAAAGGTCATCGAGTCCAGCCCCCTGTCTTCACTAGCAGGACCAAGTACTGATTCTTGCCCCAGATCCCTAAGTGGCCCCCTCAAGGATTGAGGTCACAACCCTGGGTTTAGCAGGCTAATGCTCAAACCACTAAGCTATCCCTCCCCTGAGTGTTATTTGTTGCCTTATGTCCTGAAGTATACAATTTTATCATCTATTTTTTGTGGCTATAACAAACCATCAGTAGATCTCAAAGCACTTTACAAAGGAGGTAAATATAATTATTCCCCATTTTACCGATGGGGAAACCAAGCCACAGAGAGAGGAAGTGATTGTCCAAAGTCATCCAGCAGACCAGTGGCAGAGCTGGGAATAGACCCCATACCTGCTCTGTCCACTGGGCCACACCACCCTCTCATAAAAATACAAAAGGGGTCTCTCTCTTCCTCTGGTACCAGAGATGATATTTAAAATGCGGAGAGTGCTCAAAATGATAGAAAGCATTTGTTCTATAAAACACATTCTTCAAAATAAATTCAGTAATTTTTAAAAAGGTAAATTAGTCTTTTATTTAATAAAATGTTCCAGTAGCTATAATCATGACTATTAAAGAGTATACAAATATTTTGGAAAAAAATAGATATTTTGGGTGAGGGGTCTTCTTAGTATATCTAAAACTGAAATGTGACTGTTTTTTATAATTTGTTCAGTAGTTATTTTAATTAACATTCACTCCATTGATGCCTGATGTAAAGGCATAAAATGTCTAAGGATTCCATTCACTTTTAGGTGAGTTATTTGGACCAAATGCAACACCAGAGGCTTGGGGGCTCATCCTGGCCTCAATGAAGTCAATTGAAGTTTTGCCATTCATTTCAATGGGAGCTGTGCTGGGTCCATAGTGATACTTAGGCACAGTAGAAGATAAATATTCCACTATTTGTATAGTACATACGATCAAGACTTTGATGCCCCTGTAGACTAATTATTAGCTATCTTTTTTTATTTTATTTCACATCCAGGAAATTCTTTATAAAATAAAATAGTCAATAAAGGAGGAATATGGGAATCTGAAATGACAAATAGCTGTTTAAACTACTGTGGCAGCAGTGACAGCGAGCTCCTGGATAGCTTTACTACTTGTTGTAAAGAAGCATTAAAGGTTGTTTACATGGTCTCAGTATAAATAACCTTGACACTTTGTTGAGGGGAGACTCAAATTTAGGTTGGCATTATTTCAAGGACCGTTTTCTGCTTGAGTAGTCCAAGCTTGTCCACCTCAGCTGTGCCTTTCTCTTATGTTCAGACACGTCTGCTAGAGTGCTGCAGGTTGCGATGTGCTCAGAGGCTCTATCTGTACTTTCCGTATAAACAGTGTTCTTTCTTAGGGTTGTCATTTTATTTAATTTATTTATTTTAAAGCTGCTTTTTCAAGCCAAGGATTTTTAATATTGACAAGGAGAAAGGCTGAATGAGTCCAATGTTTGAATCAGGGTCTTAGCACAGAGTCCTTTAGAGAAAGAGCAGTGTTTTTATTCATTGCAAGTTGATCTGCATTTGTTGTTTGTCTTTTTCTAGAAAAATGTCCTCTGTTTATTGAAAAGAGTATTTGTTTTTCAATTTGGTTTTCTCAGTTTTTGGGAAACCACTACATTTCCAGAATGGACTTATTTTAAGAACTGTATTTTAGCTGTCTATCGAAGTTGTTGATATGGCCCCTATTACGGTAGTATCGGAGCACCTCACAGTCTTTAATGTATTTATCTTCACAACACCCCTGTGCGGCATGGAAGTGCCATTATTCCATTTTACTGGTGGAGAACTGAGGCTCAGTGATTGCCCAAGGTCACGCAGGAAGGCTGTGAGAGAGTAGGGAAATGGTCCCTGGTCTCCTGGGTCCTAGGCTCGTGCCCTTACTGCAGGATCATTGTTCCTGTTTTAATGTTTCGATGTAGTAATATAGGTCCACGTTCACCATGCTCACTTTATGCAAGTAGTCCCATTGACTCACTAGATTTACTCACTTGCATGAGGCAAACAGGATGTGGCAATTTTCCAGATAAGAAGCCTAAAGCTGTGGCTATAAGCCTGTGTGGAGGACTTTATGGAATCTGCGATGCAACATGGTATCCTAGAGGCAGGAGAGAAACGTGGTGGGTCACAAACTCATTAACATTAGTTTTTGCTGCCGAATGTAATCTGTAATTTTCAAAATGAGGTAACACAAGGTCATCCATCTCTAGTTGAAAGAGAGAATTTCTAAAAGTATAAAAGAAAGAGAAACTACCGCAAAATACCACTTACGGTATTTTTCTTTCCCTTCATTTGAAAGCAGAAGAAAAATCAGGTTCTGTTTGCAAAAAAATTAAAAAAATGAAGAAAATGTTATTAATTCATTGCTTTCTGTTGTTCATTCCTGGACACAGGTTTAATTCCTGTTATGATTTAATTCTATCACGATTTTGTGCCTGGGACTTCAAAGCATATGGTATCACAGGAGTGAAAATAAATCGCATCATCCGAGTGCACAACCGTATTCTGAGGATGATATTTGAAGAGAAGTTTCAAATGTTTTTGGATAAAGAAGTTTTAAGTGAAACAGAGTGAGTAGATGATTTTTAAGGACAATTTAGTGAAGCAGTTACACGTGAAGCAATATGAACTTAGTGATTTTAAGTGATAGATATATTTTACAAAGCAACACATAAACCAGCATAAGGCTGTGAATTCAGTTTAAAGATGTGAATGGCCAGATTTTTTTTTTAAAAGAAAAGGCAGAGAGAGAGTGCAAAAAGAGGAAAAATACATGCATGTATGCATCTGTATTGAACACATCTCAGTAGTGTACGTGCAGATACTTGGTTGCATATTCACCCAGTGGATTTGTATGCTCCAGAGCTGGTGTGTCCAAATTTCTTTTATATGCATTTCAGCCTTTACTTTAGAAAGTTTTGGCTGTTATAGTTATTCATTCCACTGCCTTCTAACAAAAAGGTTTAAGACCCTGATACTATAATGAGCTCTGTGTAGGCAGTGGGTCCATGTGTCCTCACAGCTTGCAGGAGTGGGAGCTTAATTACTGGAAAGAAGAGTTTCTAAAGTGGGATGTTTTTTTAATAGATACTTTTTAATTTAAGTTTTGACAATTTTCAGAGTAATGTATACAAGATGTATGGTAATTAGTCTTAAAATATACAACCATCTACACTATAGGAAGGGTCAGAAGAAAAGAATAATTGAAGGGGTGGTATTAAATCATACATAACAAATGGAAACTAAAGATTGGTTTATACAGAAGTTCCCTGCAGGGTGGATAATATAACTGACAAATGACTTCACTGGGAGTTGTGTGTGTGGCATGGTAGCAGGATCAGGTACTGAAGCTTTAAAAATTAACAGTGATTCTTCCTTTAGTGATTGTCCATATGCATTCCACTTCTGGTGCACAGGCGTGCAAGATAAGATTATTTTAGCCAACAGGTATCCACTGGGGCAGTGCCTGGATGCCCTTGTGCCCACCCAGACTTCAGTTTGTTCTTGCCACCCGTGGCTGGGAGATGGAACTCCTGCAGTGTCCTCTTCTCTGTGCAGTGTGACTTCACTGATGTTTTGTGTGTGTGTAAATGAGCTAGTCTTGTGTAATGTAGTGTTTTTGTCTTTTTTTATGTCTGTTGACTATCTATAGGAAAGAGAAAAAACTTTTAGTGTTAGGGAGCTTCCTGGTATTGAGAGAGAGCCATTAGGACTGAAATGAAGTCCAGGTTGTTCAGAACTTGCCTCTCCAGTGATATGACTATTCCACTTAATGATGGATGTTTTAAGTACCTTTTTTGTTTTGGAGAGGAGCATATCCCTGATAGATGCTCATTCTGTGGCTCCTTCTCCAAGAAAATTCAGAAACTGAGAGAGGTCCATCTTAAACTTTTCTCCTGGAGTGCTCAACAAGATTCTCAGAGTCCGAGAAAAAGGGCCTACTGGGCCTCAGCAGGCTTCCTCCATCAGTGTGCTTATGAGCTGTGGCTCAGCTCCAAGTTCCCTGGTTCACTCTTCAGAGAAACTTCTATCTACTGAGATTGGTAGAGTCGCTAAATCCTCCTCCACCCAGTCATCTGAAAGGGATAAGAAGGAACATGGTTCCCAGATTGAGTACTGGTGTAGCTCACCCTCCTGGGACCCAGTAAAAGGAGGCATAGATCATAGACTATCAGAGTTGGAAGGGACCTCAGAAGGTCATTTAATCCAACCCCCTGCTCAGAGCAGGACCAATCCCTAACTAAATCATCCCAGCCAGGGCTTCATCAAGCCTGACCTTAAAAACCTCTAAGGAAGGAGATTCCACCACCTCCCTAGGTAACCCATTCCAGTTCTTCATCACCCTCCTAGTGAAAAAGTTTTTTCCTAATATCCAATCTAGACCTCCCCCACTGCAACTTGAGACCATTACTTCTTGTTCTGTCATCTGGTACCTCTGAGAACAGTCTAGATCCATCCTCTTTGGATCCCCCTTTCAAGTAGTTGAAAGCAGCTATCAAATCCCCCCTCATTCTTCTCTTCTGCAGACTAAACAATCCCAGTTCCCTCAGCCTCTCCTCATAAGTCATGTGCTCCAGCCCCCTAATCATTATTGTTGCCCTCCGCTGGACTCTTTCCAATTTTTCCACATCCTCCTTGTAGTGTGGGGCCCAAAACTGGACACAGTACTCCAGATGAGGCCTCACCAATGCCGAATAGAGGGGAATGATCATGTCCCTCGATCTGCTGGCAATGCCCCTACTTATACAGCCCAAAATGCCATTTAGATCTCCTCAGACTCCTGTCAGCTCAGCCCCCAGTAATATTACCTGACTTACCCAGTGTGATCTCTCAGAATGAAGGTCAGATCCTACCATGGACCCAGCATTGTTGCATCTAATAGCAGGAAGCTGGCTGGTTAACTACCATCAACAGGAGCTGAATAGCTGACGTCCAAAATACACTGGTGCACAGCAGAAAGGATTCTACTAGACTGACTTGTGCAGGAAAATGGGAGATGCTCGATTTGGACAGCAGAGTGCCACCTGTCTTCTTTAGAAGACTCAGTCCAGAACAGCTGGAATCATCTGCTGTCCCTAAGCATTCAGGACCATAGATCAGCTTCATAAGAATTCATTTAGCATCTATATCAGTTCACCATCCTCCTGTCCAGGGTCACACCACATTTTCCCACCCTACAGTTGATAAGTTCCTCATGCCCTTTATTCATGTGCTTCCTCCAGTTTGGGAGCTCCCTCTTTCCTGTGACCTAGTCTTAGCGGGTTTAATGGGACCTCCTTTTGAGCCCCTAGAATTTTTCTCTCTATATCATCCATCTTTTAAAATGGATTTTTTAGTTGTTATGACATCAGTGTGATGGGTAAGAGAGATTCAGGCCCTCATGGCTGGTGCATCTTACATGCTGTTACATAAAGACACAGTGATCCTTAGGTCTTACACACAGTTTTTACTGAAGGTTGTTTCAGATGGTCATCTGAATCACATGAATCACCAACCGGTTTTCTTTCGCAAGCCTCACTCCAACTAAGAGAAGCGAAGTTGCACGCCCTTGATGTGGTTAGGATTCTTTCATATCGCTTTGACAGAACAAAACCCTTCAGGAGTTCCCCAAGACTGTTTGTAGCAGTTGCTGATAGGGTAAAAGGTCAGGCAATGCACACCCAGAGACTGTCTAAATGGATGTCTAATTGTATTAGATCATGCTATGAGTTAGCTAGATTAGAGCCACCCAGGCAGGTTGGAGCCCACTCCACCAGGACTCAGGCACTTTTATGTTTATGGTATGAAAAGCATATCAGTTTCAGAAATTTGCAGGGAAGCTATCTGTGGATCAGTCCTTGATTTCACCCACCACCATTCCTTAGCTGAGTCCTCAGGATGCCCATTTTGGCAAAGCTGTCCTACAATCATGATCCTGATTGTGAGGTCACTGCATGCCAGTCACCAGAAGTGGCGTCCACATGGACAATCACTCAAAGAGGAAAGAACGATTATTTCTCTTATGGAAACTGGTTCTTTGAGATGTTTTGTCCACGTGGATTCCATTATCCACTCTCCTTCCAGTAATCTTGCCAAGGACCTCCAGCAAAGAGAAGGAAGTAAGAACTTGATATTTGAAACGCCAAAAAAAAGGTAGGTTTTTTTTTTTGAGGGGGCACAGGAAATGGAGACCACCCTTATGCATTAAAGGATGAAAACGCCATCAACCTCATGAACAATATATGTTCCGTTCTATATGCATCCGAAGAAGTGGGCTGTAGTCCACGAAAGCTTATGCTCTAATAAATTTGTTAGTCTCTAAGGTGCCACAAGTACTGCTGTTCTTCTTTTTGTTTTATCATGCATTTGATCTTTAGTGTCACCAGATATTGCACACTGAATATCAACATTATTTGTATTTCTGACATAAGTGGAATCCAGCTAATTCTTAGTGAACATTGTACAACAAACATGCTCTGCTTAGGCTGCATATTATTTTTGCAACAGAAGCACTGAAATATTTTCCTGCTTCTCATTCTTGTTAAGAAACTACAGGAAGATGCTGGAGTGTCTCTTTTATGTGTTTGACCCAGACTTGCCAGTTAAGAAAAAGCAACTTCTACAAGTGCTTGAGGATGGGTTCCAGGCAATGGAAGAGCACAAGGTGAGATAAAATCTGCACAGAAGAATGTTTATTACTTACTAGTTGGTAGCCCAGCTCAGAAAGGCCTAATTGGTGCTGCTCTACCTTTCGTCTCTTCTTAGCCCTTTGTCCCACTCATCTTTCCCCTCTTTTTCTGCATTTATTCTTGTCCTTCCTCCTATTGTCTCCACTTTCTTCTTTGCTTTTTCCCTCCCCGGCACAGGAATGATCAGTGCTTTGCTACTTCTTTTCAACTCCTGTTTCACGCCTTCCCTATTTCTTCTTCTCTGCCCTCTCCCTCCCTTTCGGTTGCACAGCTTCTGTCCTCGTTCATCACGAATTCTCAATTGGGAGGTAGTCCAGCTTTGTTCGTGGAAGCTTCAGGACTAAGTCTCGCCCTTCAGCTCAGGCCCCCAGATTTTCTGCCTCCAGCAATGTAACAAGTTAGCCATTTAGTTTCTCCCAACCAGATTGTTTTATAATTTAATTTTTATTTGTTTTTGTGCAGGAGCGACTTATAATCTTTCTTCCTCCTCCTCTCCCCCAGATTGGGTATTTGGCAGCACGGAGACTTCAGAGCCTCAGCTATAGCTATATATAGCTATAGGTGTTTCACGTACTTAGTAAGGAAAGCCTACTTGGTGGTAAAAAGTCGTCATCTCTGGGTATAATCCTTGCTTGGAGTGAGACGTCTCCCATTCTATCCTGGTCAAACCCTTGATGTGATTTGTGACAAGCAGTGGCTTCTAACTTGATGGCTACAAGGATGTTACACCCACGAATAGCAATCAGTCATCCTAAACAGATCTTGTGCATCCAAACTTACAGGTGAGGAGCTGTTTGGGGAAACAGAGAAAAATTAGTAGCTGAGACAGCAGAGAGGCCTCAACCCTCACTATCAAAGCCAGCATAGCAATCCATTGGTCACTACCAACACCAAGAGTATTCAAGAAAGAACAATTCCTTTAGCAGAAGGAAAATCTAGGGTGGAAGTTTCCCTACATTTTTCTCCAAACCAACCAAAGAACATTTGTGTATGAGAAGTCACAATCCTTTATAAAACTCTTAATTCTGATCCACCCTCCACGCTAAGAGTCTTAAGAAATAGCTGGTAGTACTTACAGCAAGGCACAGGTCGCAAGTTTTGCTCCTAGACAATGTTCCAATCAGTGGCCTGTCTAGAGAAACAGTACCATTCGTAATAGGACAGCTGCTGGACAGGATTCCTACTCACTAGTTCTTCACAGTTAAGAAGAGCTTTTGAATCCAGTGCAGAAAATTGCTCACTTGTGGGCGGGGAAAGCCTGGCTCTGGCTCTGGCCACACTTCTACCATCATGGAAAAGATTTCCAAAGAAACAAAATTTCATTGCACCAGTCATTTCCTGACAGAGGTCATCTGTAGCAATTTTCTCCAATGAACAGGATTGCTGGTGGCATGCATCGGCTTCATCCCCCAAGTTGTTTCTCAAAATGCACCTGAAGAAATTCATTCTGGGGATGTGGAACCACTCACCTGCTACAGTGCAAAATTAGGTGTCATTCTCAGGTCACATCCAAATATCCCCTTGTGGGCAGGTCAGTACAAACAACATGCTGAAAGCCAACACAATTTGCACTCTAGACCCTTGCATACTCACTAAGGAAGTAAGCCGTTCAGGTTGAGGACTGTACTTGGAAGACAAATTTCCAAAATCTCAGCGTACCCATGCTTTTAGTTCACTGTGACAGCTCTGTCAGTAGTGTGTCTAAACAACCTCTCTACCCAAAACCCAGAAACATGGCAATGTGGGATTAGATCAGTGGTCCATCAAGTCCAGTATGACAGTGGTCAATACCAGCTACTTCAGAAGAAGGTGCAAGAAACCACATCACAGGCAATTTTGTCTCTCATGGTGGAAGTCTCCCCATTAGAGGTTGGTTTATGATTGAGGCATGAGTGTTTATGTCCCTTCCAAAATCAGGGAGTAACAAGAGGTCAAATGGAAGTAATGTTGTAGGAAGAGAAGAATCTGCTATCTTTCAAGCTAGTTCACATAAAGAATATAGAAAAGAGGAAAAGGGAGAGTTGAAGTCCTTCTTCTAATCCTCCACTGGCCCAGAAGGCATTTTGGACTTGCTAGATAGCTAAGAAACCCACATTGCATCTACAGAAAAGACCAGACCTCTTGAAGCAGGTACCCCTTTTATTCAAACCAGGAACACCTACAGTTACCAGCCTGGGCATCCTAAGAAAAGTGTAGTTCAGCATGGATGCTCCATTGGTCTCTGATACAGTTTAGTATCCAGATAAAACTCAACCAGGAAATTTCATTCATTGACCTGGTCAAATTTATGTTTCATGTGCAAGGGGAAACAGAAGGCTCTTTGGGGCAGGGACTTCCTCTTTTTACAGTGCCGACTGCATTGCGGCCCTGACCTCTAGATGCTATTGTAATACAACTAAATAATAATAATTACAAAGTGCTGGCCATCTCAGCTACACTTGAGTTTCTCCAGATTGGTTTATTGGAGTCCTACAACCAAGCGCCATAGAATAATGGGTACCAGTCCCAGCCCTAGCAGTGTTCTGTAAGTAGGCAGATTTGACTCTTCTGGGGAAGTAGTTCTCCTGTCATTTTGTTTGAACACTTGGCAGTCCTTTGGAAGATTGTGGCATAAATGGGCATTCTTAGGGCTCTAAAGTTATAGCTTGGGTACATGGAATACGTCTGACAGTTGTATGCTGTTTATTTCATTCTATACAAAACATGAAGGCATTAGGGCCTCAAAGTTGCTGCAGGCAAGATGTTAAAATTCTGCATCATTTGGCATGCTTGGCATCTGGGAAACTATTCACAGAAGTCCACAGGGGCACTGGGAAAAAAGAGTATGAGTCTCATATGAGGAAGATTTGCAGAATAAGTTTCCATTCCTCTGCAAAGTCATCCTTGATAGGAAAGTGCTACTGGGTTGGTTCCTACATACATTCCTGCCTATTATTCTACTATAATAATAATTAAAACTCTATTTATCCACCCCTCCCTACCTCCAACTTGTGTGAATCACTGTCTGCTACTTCCAACTGCTGATGAATGAAAAGAGAAGCTGTGTAAAGGAAAGAAAAAAATTCTTACCTGATCATTTTGTTTCTGTTAGTAGATTCTCTTCTCATTCAACCCACGCTGGGAGTCTGGTAAATGACCAGAATACAAACTGAAGTCTTTTTCTAAAGGGAGACTTGGACATATAACTGTCTTAAAACATATTATATCAAGTTGTTATCTTATTGCTAACCATCAGTTGCTGGAGTGTTCCCACAGCTGTGGAAGAACTCTTCTGGCAAACTGAGCTGAAGGATGGGGCTTTGTCTTGGAGCCTCCAGCAAAAACATTGGACTGCCTTGTTGAATTCCATACATAGGGGTCATTATCTCATTAGTGATGAATGAGGAGAGAAGCTGTTAACACTGAATTATCAGGTAAGAAATGTCTCATTCTGACCCATGAAAAGCAAAATATAGAGAGATGGGATAGGAGAGCCTTCTCTCTTTTTCTGCAGCATCCTCATTTTGTCTTCCCTACTTATAGCCCACCTCTCCCTATTTTTCTGTTTTGTGACCAACTTGTTTTGAGTGGCGGGATTGTATCTTCAGAAATATCTCCCTCTCTCCCTCTCTGCTTCTTTGTTGTTGTTATATTGTGGTAGTGCTCAAAGGCCCCAGTTAGGACTGCCCCTCCCATTGTGCTAGGTGCTGTTCAAAGAAAAATCTGATTCCTGCTCCAAAGAAAAAGGAGTCCGGTGGCACCTTAAAGACTAACAGATTTATTTGGGCATAAGCTTTCGTGGGTAAAAAACCCATTTCTTCAGATGCAAAGCTTATGCCCAAATAAATCTTAGTCTTTAAGGTGCCACCGGACTCCTCCTTATTTTTGTGGATACAGACTAACACGGCCACCCCTTTGATACTCTGCTCCAAAGACTTTACAATCTAACTTTCTTTTCTCCTGACTAGATTGTGATATCACAAGTAAATGAGCCTGCCCTTGTTTTTTAGTCCTCCCTCTTCCACTCTCCACCTCTTCCTTAATTTATTTGCATATTGTAAAGCTGCTGATTAAGGATAGGTGTCTTGAAATTCTTACAGGGGGCGTTGGTCAAATAAACCTACTTAGACCTTACTTTCATCTTTGCAGCTTTCAAGAAGAGAAGAAGCTGTTCTCCTCTCTAACAGTTTAAGTATATGTGAACGTCCCAGAATAGAATTTTTGCAGCAACAAACCAAGGATGAACGTAAAAATAGCAATGAACTTGAGGAACCGTTCATATGTGGTAATGTAATCGCTTGGAGAGGTGCTTTAAAACATCATTGATAGGTGTAAGGCTCATTTCATAAATCACAGCAAAGTGTTTTGTCTTGTAAATACAAGAAAATCTTGTAAATACAGTAGATTGTTGTGACAGAGTATACAGGTCTTTTTGTGGAGGGACCCAGAAAGACCTGTTGCAATCTGGCCCAGTGCCCTTTCTATTAGAAAACCCCACCAAGCCATACAGTAGCCTGGAGCTAACTCCTAGACTGGTTCAGAGGCAGCTAAGAGAGGCACTCCTATCTGGAAGCTAATTAGATGTAGCTTAACCTTTCTAGACTCAACAGCTCAAAAGAAGGGTGAGTTATAGGGAGTGAGGGGAGACACAAGGGGGCTGTGCTAACTTGAAGCCAGGACAGGGCACTCTGAAGAAACAGGCGTCACTAATGACAGGATGTATCAACCCTTCACCGGCATCGAATGGGTTAAGATGCTTCTTTGCGCTAGAGAAGCGCCACTGTGCGACAGTGGCAAGTCATGCCAGGAATGGAGAAGTTTAAAAGGAGGAATCACTACTCAGAAGTGGGCAGCCCAGGAAGGGAGCCAGTCTGTAAAGCTTCCCAGCTCCCAGGAAGAGGCCTGATAACTAGCAGAACCTGTGCCCTCAAAAAAGGGAGGACAGGTCCCTTGTGTTAAAAGGGTGAAGAGACTGTGTCCCATAACTTGTGTTGGAGACCCCAAGTGGACTCTAGGATGGACTATGGCCCATCCAGGGCCCCTCTGAAGAAAGGGAGTCCAATATCCTGGCTTAGAACTACCTTTAGGTTTGTTTGTTTTTTAATTTGCCCTTTTGTTTAGCTTCTTTTGCTGACTTTGGATTGTTTGTTTCACCTGAGACTCTGAAAAGGGGAGAAATAGCCAGAAAGCCTTGGCCAGAAGGCTGAGAGCTGGCCACTGCTAGACTGATGCTGACCTCTCCCTGCTAGAAGGACTGGACTCATTTGAAGTAACATCAAAGGGGGTGCTCTGATGGGGACAGATCCTTAACACCACCCTGTTTTATTTTTGTACTTCTGAATTTACTGCTTATAAATCTTAGCCAAATACTTCTGTTCTAGGAATAAATTGTCGGAAGTCTTTCTTCCCAAAATGTACTTGTTAGAGCGTTAATCTGCCAGACCAGAATGTAGTCTCCTGTCGGATGGTATCGAGCTGACCACCAACATTTTATTGCCCTGTGTTTATAGAAAATTTGATAGCGTTATTATTAAATCTTCTTTTCTTTCCATCCTTAGGGAAACTCATAATTGCAAAAGTTTTTCTTGGACATAGTGTTCCAGCTCGTGAAAAAGATCCCATCAATCAAGTCAACTATCCAGGGGCTAATTCAGTGTTCAGGCCTCGGAAACATTTACTAAGTGATACATCTGATGCTGATGATGGTAATGTATCTGTAGGCTGTTGTTAGCACAAAGTGAAGGTTGTGTCAGTGTTGTATTCTAAACACTGTCTTTCTCACATCTAGGAGCCTGTTGTGGAATTTTGGTCCTGGTTAGAACTCAGATACGGTCTTGCTCCAGCCCAAGTGCATATTGTTTTGAACTAATGTTAAAGAGGATAATAAAAGATGCTCACTGTTTTAGTGATTACTTGTGGTAGTTTAATTCACACAGAGTTTGAAGGAAAGCACGAAGGACCAGATTGTGCTCTTCAGCCACTAGTCCATACTAGAAATAGTGTGGTGTACACAATCTCTCTCCCAGCTTGCATTGTTCAGGGTGTGTGTGTGTGTGTGTGTGATAACTGTGGCCACATATACATACCTCAGTTGAGATCAAACACCTTCATCATTAAAACCCCCAACCCATCTCTGCTTGAGCAGAAGGAGAATTCCTTTAATGCTTTATTGTCTCTAGAGGGAGTCATGATCACCCGCACTAAGTCTGTGTACTACCTATGTACGATGCAACAATCTTTGAGTAGTCGATCCTGCTTCCTCAATGTGGCCAGTCAACTTTGCAGGACAGTGCAGAGTGGGAACAGGGCCATGACTTCACCTCTTCCCGTCCAGTCGGGGGGATTTGCAGTCATTGGAATACTAGAAGGGAGCAATCCCTTTGTTTACTTGAGTGCAGGAACTGTGATTGTACTTGTCCTTCCATGGGCAGGAAGATGAGAAAACCAATCTGTTAGGTGATTACACCATAGAATGATCGACTAGTTTTGGGTAACAGTGCAGTATAGCAGACTGTGCCATGGGGGGCCAAACGAAGTTCCCTTTTCCAACAATCTGCCATGAAAGAACAGCTGTGATTCTCTCCTTGGCTCCCCCCTCACTCCAAAGGGAAAATAATCTGTACCAGGAGAAGATTTCATTTAGCACATTGGGGATGCCGGGGGGGCGAGGGGAGGGGAGAGAATGGAGACAAGTTTCTTGCCCAATCCCCACCCGTTCTTGCCCACTCCCTTCCAGCCAGGAGGAGAGGGAGTAATGGCCCCAGAGAGGCTGCCTCCCACTCATGCTGGAACCTGCCAGCTCTGCAGCTCACACAGGGGAGTAAGGGGGCATGTTACTGCCCTCTCAGAATGTGTAGCGCAAGGAACAGGGTTGCCCTAGGCAAATAAAAAGCTAAATGATAGGGTTCCGCGGTAAGATTTGGTAAGATTTTTAGATGCTGCTATAGGGCGCCTAAAGAGAATTAAGATCCTAAGAAAACAAATCTCCCTTGAGTAAACAACTCAAATTAAAAAATTTTAAATGAGAGAAATGTGTGTTCGCTACATCCTGCAGTGAAGATGAAGCAGTCTTGTATTTATTCCTTCCGCTTGTGTTTGTTCCTTTTCTTTTGCTGTAGAAACGTATTCTTCCATGGAACATAGAAACTGTGACTGCCGCCATCGACAGTGTGAGTGGTTTGTGTTTGATCACGAACTGGTCTTGCCCGAATACGTCGTTGAATTTGAGTACACTACACTGGTATGAACTTTGTTCTCCCTAATAGGATGTTAGACCGTAAGCTTTAGATCTCGAAGATCAAGAGAAAAACAACTAGTTGAAATTACTCCTCCTTCACTCACATTACCTGACAGGACCTAAGTTCAGGGTTCTGTTCCCTCTAACTGTTTAAAGGCCTGATAAAACTCCTGTTGAAGTCAATGGGAAACTTCATACACTGCAATGAGAGTTAGGATCAGACTCTTATTTTGTAACATTATCAAGTGTGGCAGGGAAGGCACAGAGACTTCAATGAAGCCTTAGCAGTGCAATGAAGCACAATTGAAAATTAGCTCTTCTCTCACTAAATGCACCATCCATCAAGGTAATGAGACACTAAAATGAATGAGATTTGACAGTGCTCAAAACCTTGCTTCATGGAGTCCTTAATGAGAGAGTAACTCATTTTCAATTTGTGTTTTGGTTCCAAGTGTGATGTATGTAGTTTTGAAGCATGCACAGATATTCTGCTACTGGTTGGGATCCTGAACAGGTTTTTCCTTCATTAAAAAAGCTTTTATGTTAATTTTTTATAAGCTATGTGGTGGACTGGCCTTGTGGTTATGTGGCTGTGTAACTTGCTGTCGTCATGCAGGGGTTTCAGTTCAGGTCCTAAGCTCTACTACCTAGCAGAAGCAGGGTGTGCTGCAAAAGTAGAATATTCGGCTTTTGGAGGGGAGCCTGGGGGAGATTTCCCCTTTCTGACACATTTGAGTGCTCCACTACCAAAACAATTGCAGTACTGATGAGCTCCTGGGGGTCTACATCTAACTCCTTCATTGGAGAGTGAGCTATTGCAGTGCTTGGACTTTGGGGGTTTGGGCAGCGAATCAGACTTCTGTTGTCTTCAGTGTGAGTTCTATATGTGAGAGGATATGGCCCATAGACTCTTTGTTACTTTTTGTTCATAATGTAACGTGTAAATGCTTGTGCAAACAAAAGCATTGCTGTTCTCTTTTGAAAGTGCTGCATTACCGAAAGATGATTTCCTAACTCTACTTTCTGCATGTTTGTATGCAGTTTTAAATAATTTACCTAACTTAAAATAGAAATTTTACAAATGTTAACAAATATTATTTTGCGTAGGTCAAAGTTCAGTCCCTGTTTTCTACGCTCAGCAATGTAATTGTAGAAGAAAGAAAGAAAAATACAGAAGGATTTATATTGTCTAGTGATTTGCAACGTGATGATGAAGTTATGAACATGGAGCCTACAGTAAAAGCCAGACCCAAAATTGTTTGCTTGGATGAAAAGACAGTGCTTTCAGTTGCTAAGGCCAATATTTACAGTCAAATAGCGGTGAGTATTGTCTGTTAAACTGACAGCAGGACATGGTTATTACATAATCAATGTCATGTTATTCAGATTGCTCGTAAACCAATCAAAAGTAGGAAGTCACAAATGAAGGCTAGCATTTGGGCTTGATTCTGGTGTTACACTTGTTTTACATCAGTGCAGTGCTTTGGGAGTAATTGGAGATCCAAAACTAGTGTGAAATCAGAATAAGGACTTCCATCCCTAAATTATGCCATTTGTTTTTCATAAAAATATGAATTACAAATACTGGGCAGGATTCTGATCTTACTTACTATTGTATAAATAACTCCACTGAAATCACATGCAAACTACTGTTTGTGAGACCCGGTTAAGGCCTAAAGTGTCAGCTTTAACTGTGAGTCTTCTCAAAGTTTTCTTGGCTGCGTGGTTGTGTCATCATAGTGATCGCTCCTGAAAAGATTTTATATGTCAGTTTTGGCATCAGAAAAATATAAATCCAGTGAAGGAGAGAACTCTTGACAGCCACCTAGCTACACCCAGATTTTCAATATCGTTGCAACTGATTGGCCCACAAAACCCCTTATGCAAATTGGTATTTGCATACAGAACTCCTTTCATTGCACAGCTAACTGCAGTTTTGCATTTGCAGTTACTCATTTTGTCTGTACAAACTTGATGCAGGAAGCCTGCTGAACATTTGACCTTTCAAATTGTTAAATAGTTTTGATCTCTTCTGTCTGTGTCTTCAATGGGGTAGCAGTTCTCCCCTCCCCCTTGCACTCACCCATAATTCCCTTTCCTGAGTACGTGGCTTCAGTTGGCTGGTACTCCCCTCTTCTGAGTGCCACTCTCCCCAAACTGTACTCCGGGCATGGAGGAATTCCCAGCTGGCAATCTTCCATCCAATCTCCCCAAGCAACAAGTTCTCGCCTAATGGGGAAGGATTGGAAACTGTCCTCCCTTCTTGCTCCCCGTGGACCAGTAAAAACCATTTCTGAACTGAATCTCCATCTTCCCATCCCACTATTACTTCAGGGATAAGGGAGAAGAACAAATATCCTTCAAAATAGAAAATAAAAGCAATACTTTGTCCCAGGATCCTTGCAACTGCTCTTCACAAACTTCATATCACTTACAAGTAACTTTTCTTAGCCTTTTTTATAATCTATAGAATAGAGTTACATTTACTCTTAAACACTAGCAGTTGAAGCTCTTTAATGTTGAAAAGCAATGATGGAGTAGCACAGAATTTGGTTGTGTATATATATGGTACAGTTGTAATCTCATTAATTTTTGACCTAGGTTCTGAATTTGCATGGGAACAGCCTGAGCAAACTGCGGGACATCTCTAAACTGACAGGGCTTCGAAAACTTATTGTCAGCTTCAATGAATTTACGTGTTTAGATGATGTTTACCACTTGGTAAGAAATATTGTTCTATATGTTGTAAAGGAAATTAAACTAAAGGAATATTTTAATTGAAAAAAATCCTTTGTGTGTACAACTTAAATATATTAATGTCTATTGCATGGCAGCAAACCTGATTTATTCCTAATGGGTGAAGTTCACTACCTCTAAACAGAGCCTTTGTTCCTCCTTCTCCTTTGTAGTAGGCAATGTGGACCAGTAGGTAGAGCATTGGATTGGGACTTTGGTGATCTGGCTTCTATTCCTGGCTCTGCAGTTGGCCTGCTTAGTGGTGTTAGGCAAGTCTTTTCACCTCCCTTGCCTCAGTTTCCCAATCTGTACAATGGAATAATACCTACCTCCTTTGTAGAGCACTTTGAGATCTGCAGATGAAAAGTGCTATATAAGAGGTAGATGGTGGTATTATTATTATTATTCCTCTCTCTACTTCCTGTCTCCCACCCTTTGGCTCTCTTGTCTACTTAGATGGTAAATGCTTCAGGTTGGAGACCGTTTCTTACTGTGTGTGTCTACAGTGCCTAGCACAATGGGCCCTGATCTTGGTTGGAGTCTCTAGGGCACTATCCTAACACAAATAAATAATAATAACTAACACAACAATTAAGAACACCCAACTGATTAGACTTGAAGTGGGGCTCTTCAAAAAACTTTTGAAGTGATAATCAAGCTAGCCCAGTACAGACAGTTTGATAAGAAGTGTGAGCATACTTACAAGGGGAGATAGATTCAATGTTTGTAATGGCTCAGCCATTCCCAGTCCTTATTCAAACCAGAGTTGATTGTGTCTAGTTTGCATATCTATTCCAGCTCAGCAGTCTCTCGTTGGAGTCTGTTTTTGAAGTTTTTCTGTTGTAATATAGCCACACGCAGGTCTGTCACTGAATGACCAGACAGGTTAAAGTGGATTCAGATATACATTCAAAGGTTCGGTTGCTTAACCAGACTTCTTTCCAGACAGGCTTTCTGCTGCTGGGCAAGGGGCGCTTTGGGCATTGAATCTGGATGACCGTGCCTTCTGTGGGACTGTCTATTAAAACTGAGTTTATTACCAAATATTTCCTTGCTGCACTTTTTTCTGTACAATTATTCTCAAATCAGTACTGTCTTGCAGCCCAATCTGGAGTATTTTGATGCAAGCCACAACCATGTGATCACCCTGGAGGGTATTAGAGGCTTAAGCAAACTGAAGTATTTAGACTTGAGCTGGAATCAACTGAAAAAGACTGGAGAGGAAATAAATGTCTTACGTAAACACACTTCAAACGTACTCAGTCTTGATATCAGACATAACCCATGGCATAAGGTATGTGTCAGTGCTTAAAATTCTCAGGAAAACCTTCTAGCCAAAACAATTAGACCTTGTAGTGCTAAGTTTTGGGCCTGGTTCTCATTTACATTGAGGCTGTGTAAGGGGCCTTAAAGTGGATGTATATGTAATTAGTGCCCACTTTAAAGATGTCAAGTATCAGAGGGGTAGCCGTGTTAGTCTGAATCTGTAAAAAGCAACAGAGGGTCCTGTGGCACCTTTGAGACTAACAGAAGTACTGGGA